ATTCACCGTGTCAAACGCCTTCCGTAGGTCCAGCGACACTAGCGCAGAAACGTTTCCCTGGTCCACCTGCATCTGGACATCTGATATAAGATCGATGGTTGCTGATGCAGTGTCGCTGGACTCAGGGAAGCCGTATTGACCCTTGTAAAAGAAATCCTGTTGATTTAAATAGTTAATTAGCCTCTTGTCTACAATCATCTCAAATATTTTGGAAAATACTGAAAGAATGGATATGGGTCGATAATTATTAGCCTTGTCTTTATCACTGTCTTTATATAGAGGGGTTACTCTTGCTATTTTTAGTTTTTCGGGTACTTTACCAGAGCACAATGATTGATTAATAATTTTACAAAGAGTTGGTACCAAATTATCTTTACACTGTTTAAGAGACCGCACATTCACTCCGTCACTTCCAGTTGCCTTAGACACATCTAGCTTCTTGATCAGATAGTCAATCTCCTTTTCTGTTGCTGGCACAAAGAACATGGTCTCATTGTAGCAGGTTTCACCTTGTACATCCAGGGGAATATTGGGTAGTTTACTAGAGAGTTCACTGCCAATACTCAAAGTATGAATTCAAATGTTCACATATGTTCTTCACATCTCTCAATATCTCACCATCATCTTTCTTTAACGAGCCAATTTCATTGCTTGTGCAATGTTTGTTTTGGTTTGTTAAGATTTGATTTACAACCCCAAGTTTTTTTGGGGTTTCCATGAGCTTCATCAAACATCCTCTCAAAGTATGTCTTTTTGGCTTCTTTGGATAATTGTTTAACTTTTTTATCCGCCTGTTTGTATTTATCTCTATAGCTAGTACTTTCTGGAAAGCATTTATATTTTTTATAGTAAAAATCCCTGGTTTTCATTGTGATCTGCAGTTGACCGTTTTTATCCACAAACCATGGTTTGCTTTGTATTTTAATAGTTTTAGTAGTGTACTTGGTGTTTCTTACAAAGCAGTTTAATAACTCATTGTAATTTTCATCAACACTATTGGTTTCGAGAAAATTTATATTAAAGTGTTTTAGAGCATCATCAATGGCAACATAATCCACATATTTTTTTGTGTATGTTTTATACTTATTGAGTAGGACTGCAGAACTTTTTATGGCTAGGATTTGGATGTCGTGGTCACTTAGTGAATTATCTATTATTGCTAAAGACATTATTAGGTTTAAATTGGTGACAACGTGGTCAATAAGGGTTTTATAATTTCTTGTGGGAATATGTTCATTGTAGAAGGTTAGGCCATTTCCCATACAGACCTCCTTGTATGAGTGTGTCTCAGGACAGTCGGTCAGGAGATCTATGTTGAGATCCCCAATTAGAATTAACTGATTAGATCTTAATTGGGAGAGTTCTTCATCCAGAAGCTGAGTTGTGCGTGAAACCATGTCCCTTGTTCCCCTTGGATTGTAGATTGCAGCTATATATTGGTTAATTTGAGGCAACTGGACTAGTAAATATGATATTCCATCTCTTTCTAAATTTTTTACTACTCTGTGTTTGATATGACTTTTCAAAAAAATAGCACAGCCTCCACCACGTTGAGTTCTACTGGCATACACTGATGTATAGTTAGGGATATTATAATACTGTTGTTCACCTTCAGAAATCCATGTCTCCGTTACCACAAGTACAGTTACCTCCACACTAAGTTTGGATATAAGAAGCTCTATTTCATCCATTTTATTACGAAGAGATCTTGCATTCAGGTATAAGATATGCATAAGGGGTTTACTTGATTCATTTGAGAGTGTTATGTTTTCATTAAATTCTGTCATATTATCATAATATTGCGCCATTTTGCTTAGGAGAACAATATCATATCTCAAATTATATGTTATTCTTTACTACGTGGAGTAGTATTCATTGTCTTGTTTGCCCTCATCCTGCTTATCACTTTTATGTTTTAATTTATCAATTTGCTCATTGCTACAAATTCTTATTACTTGAGAAATGGCATTCTTCCTACAAAAAACTTTGTTATTATTACACCACACATAGTCGTAGCCACATTTTTTGAGTTCTCGTGCTTTGTAGAAAATCGTCACCTGAGAATTATAGTGTTCTATCTTCATTTTCTTTTTTTTATTCAGGTTAGTCTTGTTTTAAGTCTTAAAGATGATATTGATCTATCTATATATAATTGGGGTAGAAATTGTAAAGTTTAAGGCTTAAACTATACAATTTCTACCCCAATTATATATAGATAGAACAATATGCATCTTTAATACTTAAAACAAGACTAACCTGAATAAAAAAAAGAAAATGCAGATAGAACACTATAATTCTCAGGTGACGAAATGTCACGGGTGTCTTTAGGTATATCTTCATTAATGAAGATTTTTCTCTTCTCCCCAGTAAGTCCCAACGTGGTTGAGTCGAGGATTCCTTTTTTTTTCCCCTGGCCAGTAGAATCTCTTCTTTTTTTTCTTTGGAGTTGAAACTAATGATGATGGTTTGAGCGGATTTTTGCTTGGAATTCTTTTTGCCTTAAATTCACTTTCATCTACTTCCACATTCAATCCATTAAAGATTTTTATAATTTCACTTACTTCAGGAGCTTCAGGCCCTATGCCCATGGTGCACCATTAAATTCCTTTGTCTATAGTCATCGCCTCCTTGATTTTTTTTTATTTTTGCTAACTCGTCCTTTAAATATTCGATGTCTGACCTGACCTTGTCTTGTTCTTTTTTCATTTGTTTGCTCTCCTTGAGCATTATTTCAATATTAGGTCATTAAAAAGTATATATGCATATCAAGTAAATACAAATTTTATTTATTTATTTTTATAAATCAAGTTTTAAACGGATCACGCCACTCATGTATTGAATTCTCTCATAGAAGAGATGTGCATAATTATGCAACCAGAATCAGTGAAAATGTGGATTTACCTCGAGTATTTTCAGAATTCGGTAAAAACTCTATACTGTTTAGGGGAGCATCTGTTTATAACAAATTACCAAACAATATAAAAGAACTTAAAGGATTTAAATTTAAAAAGCATATGTCGTCTTGTGTCACACAAGTTGTGTGGCGAATTTTATTGAATAAACAATGATATATCGTAGTATTTTTTCTTTTTTCTGTGATATTATATTATAATGATATGTTCCTATTTAGAATTAAAATTGTATTAATAAAATAAAATTAATTAGATTTAAAAAATGTATTAAGATTAAAAAATATATATTAAATTGTATGATTAGAGGTGTCCCTCTATAAACTGTATGTTTCTTGGGATGAAAATAAAGTATTTTATTATTTATTATTATTTATTACCAAAATCGATTGCTCACCATCTGCATTTATTTTCGATGCAATTATTAATGAAACTTTCACAAAAGTTCGTGCACAGATTAGTTTGTGGATAAAAATAGAGTTTTTACTTACGGTCAAACTTTGACAGCCAAAGTCATTTCTAGAAAAACTGCGTTTTGAAACCACTGTGTTTGAAACGGACAACCTGGCAATAAAAATTGCGGTTTGAAACAAACACCGGAATTTGAGACCCTTTAATTCGTAAAATATCACGATTTGATCCGAACGAGTTTTGTTAGTCGATGTAGTTCAGTTTTAAGCAAACTCTAAATTTTACAAAAACTGCGTTTTGCAAAGTAGCTCCTCATGTATGCCATGTTGGATAACTTGACAGATAACTATTTTGTAAATAGTAATTATTGCGCATTTTTAATTTAGCTGTAAAATCGTTCCAACTTAAAATTTTTCAATGACCTTTAGTTTAGTGTCGTTAAAAATTTACTAAACTTATGTTCTGTGCTAAACAGTTTATTACTACCCATTATTAATTGAGGTTATTAAATATTGTTACTTTTATTTTTTTACAACTAATGTTGAATTAAACTTTATTTTGTTATTTATATTTAATATGTTGTTTTTTTTCATATTTTAATTAATCGACATATTTTAATTAGACATTTTAATTTACGATACCTTTTGACATTTGAATTGTATATTATTTTTTCTACTTCCACCTTAAATCCGCCCATTATCGTACATGTTTCCATGACACTAAGTGATCTTTTAAATACACATTGACAAGCTGTGACTTAATGGCGTTTTAGTCACGGGCTAAAGTACGCAACAGGTTTTTAGTCACAGGCTGAAGTAACTTATAAGTATACAGCCGTTTTAGAAACCATTCGTGAGCGAAAGGGTTAAAAAGTGTTACGCGAGTTACTCTATTTTTTGCCTTTGTTGGCTATATACAAATATTTAATTTAAATAATTTTTAGATAATAATAATTACTTAAGTACTTATTTTTCATTTAAAAAGTATAGTATGCAACTCGTTTATAAACTTTTCCAAGCACTCATTTAATAAGCACTCGCACGCAAGCTCGCTAAAATGGCGTTTATGATACATAATATACATACTATAATTTTTCGTATTTTCGATATTTTGATACAAAGTGTTAAATATTTTGTTTCCCAAAGAATGTATTTTGATATTGTGAACGTCACCCGAATTTTATAGGACAAAGTTAGGTTGACACTAACAGAAAATAAACCTTATGAGGTCATAATCAGAGATAAAGAAGGTCATAATCATAATTATAATTATTTGTATGTCACGTCGTGGGACTTTTGGATGTAGACGTCAGTAGTAACAGGATGCGCAAAATGCTTGTGCACACTCTGTGTCTGAGTGTATGTATTGTAAATTACCCAGCCGCATTGGATGCCTGCTATGCGCGGTGAGGACTTGCCGCATCTGTGGTCTTTACTTCACACGCTATTTGGCGTAACATGTGATACCTTGAGGTTGAGATCTACTTCTTTATTTAGTTTTGATGTGGAGCATACTACCATATATTTAAAAGATGTAGTGTTGTAAAACGTGCAAATACGCTTGGTAGTTTAAATTTCCCATTGCATTTCAAGTAGGTCAAATGTACCATACCTTAAAACGCTCTAAAAAGTTGCGAAACGCGTAAATCCATAAAGTAATTTAAATATCACATTTTTACAGGGGTACCTTTAGAATGGAGAGGGAGGATGGTTATACGTTCGATTGCAGAATTCCTCCGTTTTCGTTGGAAAGTAAGCCGGAGGGAGGCGCCGCTTCACCGCCGGAGAATCTTTGACTTAATTTAATACCTTAAGAAATGAATTGTATATAATTATTTATAATTATAGTTTGCTACACTAAACTGGACTTTGACTTGCCTTTTTTAATTTAGGTGGAATAAAACAACATTCAGCGATATTTTAGTATATTTGTTCAACTATTTTTATAGATTATACATGGAATGAAACTTAAATTCTACTGATAAAACATTAAAATAATAAAGCAATCTAACAATTCTTTAAAACGGCTTCAAAAGCTTGGAATACATATGGAGCAACTTCAACAGATCTGGACTTCAAGCTCAAAGTTGCAGTAGTGACCCCTGGGGTCAATTTGAGCTCCAATAGCACCCAAATGTTGTTGGTCAACTTCAGGGACTGATACAGCATATCCTGGCCCTCCACGTTTCTTTTTGCGATGGTGAAGATATTATTCATAACCATCTTATTGGAGACTGTATCAGTGTTTCCATTTAAATCGTTTATTGTATACTGGACTTCATTGGCTGATGGTATATCGCGCCATGTTGTCAAAAAGACCCTTTTATCTAGAGTACCATCCTCAGTGAACAAAATTTGTATCGGCATTTGACAGGCAAAATAGAAAACGTCAACATTATTTTTAATGGCAACTTGTAACGTTGTTAGAGGATCCATTCTTTGTACAGGCCCTGTAGTATTTAAAGGTAAAGAATACTCTAAAGATTGCCCTGGTTGCAAGGGGGTCATAGTTATGGGCCCTGAGGGAGACACGCCAAAACTGTTTTTATTGAACTGTACCGCAAAACCACTCATAGCCTGAAACAGAAATATAAGTTGTAAAACGGATTGGGTACATCTGGGGACACACTATATATGTAGGCTAGGGTGTCCCTTATTTTTATTTTTTTTACGCATACCCTCTAATTATAAAGGGTCATCCATTTCGTGCTTGAGAAAGTACACGCTGTACATACGAAAACTACCAACAGCGCATGTGCGTAAAACAGATATTTGTGTAGTTGAATAGTTGCCATTTTATAATATGGATCATTTAACCATCGCTCAGCGCTTAAAAATTGTTAAATTGTTCTACCAAAATGGTAATTCTGCCGTGGCCACATATCGTGCTTTACGACCAGATTATGGTCGGCATAATCGCCCTTCCCAACAAACGATTTTAAACATTGTAAATAAATTTGAACGGAATGGTTCGGTGACAGATATTATAAGACCAGTGCACCATCGGAATACACGTTCTCTTGAAAACATCGCTGCGGTTAGTGCAAGTGTGACTGAAAACCCAAGATTATCAATTACACGGCGCGCTCAGCAATTGGGTTTATCCTACGGGTCGGTATGGCGTATTTTGCATTTGGATTTGCATTTTCATCCGTACAAAGTCCAGCTCACACAAGAACTAAAGCCTACAGACCATGGACAGCGTCGAACATACGCCAATTGGGTACTGGAACAACAAGCACTAAATGAAGACTTTTCAAAGAAAATTTTCTTCAGCGATGAGGCCCATTTCTTGCTCGGTGGATACGTAAATAAACAAAACTGCCGTATCTGGGGCTCCGAAAATCCACAGGCAATTGTTGAAGTGCCGTTACATCCACAAAAAGTGACTGTCTGGTGTGCATTATGGTCTGGTGGTGTCATTGGACCATATTTTTTCGAAGATGATCAAGGAAGAACCGTTACCGTCAATTCCGAACGATATGGCCGTATGTTAACCGATTTTTTTTGGCATGAAATTGAAGATATGGACCTGGCCTATACGTGGTTCCAACAAGACGGGGCCACATGTCACACAACACGAAATAATCGGGCTTTGTTGCAAGATAAGTTTCCAGGACGAGTAATTTCGAGATTGGGTGATGTGAATTGGCCACCAAGATCTTGTGATCTAACGCCATTGGACTTTTTTTTGTGGGGCTATGCAAAAGATCGTGTTTATGCCAATAGAAAATTACCTCAAAAGAATTGAGTCCTGCAGGAGATCCCGTGGAGGACATTTAAATGATATTTTGTTTCACAATTAATGCCATTAACCAGACTTTATAATGAAATAAAAATTTTATCGCAATCTAAATCTTTACTGTGTTTTTTGTTAATTTACTTTCTCAAGCTGAACTTGGATAACCCTATATTTATTACTTGTTTATATACTCCCAGTAAACATTTCAGCTCATTCTATAAACGGGAACCCGTGCCGACTTGCATCTAAACCACAGACCTACAAACAAGGTCTGTGATCTAAACCCTCCGTTAGCCAACGTTAGGTGCGCCCGGTATTTTGTAACACGAAACACTTTAAAAAGAAGATATACTTCATGACTGTATTTTTCTAATGATTTTATTAAATATGATTACTAATTAATATTATTGCTTTTGTTTCTATCATTTGTTTCACTAATTTAGTTGATTTTATCCCTTAATTATATTAATATACTAATTAGTATTGCTAAAATATACTGTTATATGAAATTTCAGCTTTTTATAAGCATTTCTTTTCTTGATGTCCTCCCAAAAATATTTCAGACAGTTTAATAAGTTTTCGGTAGTACTCTCACAATAGACTCTTTTAGTTATTTAGAGTAAAATCCATTAAGTTTATCAATTTCATAGTTAACGGCCTATTCACCAGACCCTTCCGGGTAACTAGCCACTCCCTGTGAAAATATACATTTTTATCAGTATACACATAAATAAAACTATATTTTAACATTTGTCAATAATTTATAATATAAGGGTAACATAATAACAAACACAAAATGATTTACGATCGAAGACCTCGCGACCAACCGTGTTACAAAATACCGCGCGCCTAACGTTGGCTAAAGGAGGGTTCAGATGCAAGTCGGCACGGGTTCCCGTTTATAGAATGAGCTGAAATTTTTACTGGGAGTATATAAACACGTAATAAATATAATTAGGGTATGCGTAAAAAAAATAAAAATAAGGGACACCCTAATGTAGGCTTGTAAAAACATTTTCACAACAAATTCTTGTCAAATGATCTAAAATGTAAAACGTAAAAACGATGTTCAAATGTTAACTTGGACTCTGAGTAGGTGAAATGTACCAAAGGTTGTGAGATGTATATTAGGGGTGTCAATCCCGAGCCCATTTTCCAATCCCGGGCCTTTCTGGACCAAAGGTAACTAATCCCGGGACCCCGGGATCAGTCCCGAAAAAATATATATCATTAATTTTAAAACCAATTTAAAATAAAACAACAAACTAACGAACGATATCTTTCGGACTTCACACTAGTCGGAAGAATGGTTTTCAAGAATTCGTAGGCACATTGTACCCACGCGTGGGGTAAACGTGGCCACGTTTACCCCCATTAACAAATAATTCCATTTATTTTATCAATCGGGCCTTGGTGAGTTCCAATTGGGGCTGTAACCTACATTAAAATTATCAAGTTTGTGACATTTTTTCAGGCTTGACGTTTGAAATATGTTATATTATAGGTTATGTACATAAATTTATTCTACAGTGACCTGTAATTTTACTTTTTCTTTGCTGATTTTATGCTATAGATAGAACCACTCTTGCTATGTTATTTCAATGTATTTTCATTGTTGTACGGCGGTGTATAATAATTTGACTTGAACTGAGTAAAAAAATGAATTGTTTATATTTATGCTCATAAGTATAATAATATAAAAAATGTCATACGCTTAAAAAAAGTCTATTTTATTCTTTGTAACATATTACTAAGATCCCGGGATTGGGACTTTTAATCCCGGGATTTTCGGAATCGGATTTTTTACGGGATCCCGGGACCCCGGGATTTCGGGATCCCGGGATTGACACCCCTAATGTATATACGATTGGTAGATCAAATTGAGTCTTAATAGTATGGTACTTTTAGACGCTTTAAAGGCGCGTTCAGAATCTGTACTACAGACAGAACAGTACACGTCGCGTTACTTTGAAGCGTAACATTACACTTCAACAGATGGGATGCTGCGATGTTACGCTGTTGCGTCCAAACTGGCTACGGGCTGACGTTAGTTACAGTGTTCTGTTATTTGTACGCGCTTTAAATCGAACTATGTTACATGTTAATCAAACAATAACTAAACGAAAAACCATGAATAGCTAAATAGCGAAAGCCATAACACAAAAAACTAAAGCATAGGATAACAATAACAAATTCGTAATTGTAATTTGTAAATAATCACCATGTAATGAAAACTATGTTTACTAAACCCTACTTAAAGGGTATCGTCGTACTAAATGTGCACTATCAAAAAAAATTAAAAGTATTATAAGATTTTAAATAAAAAATCTAAACTTTACGTGTCCCGAGTTTTTCATAAAAATCTTTTCTCATCAAATAACGAATATGTTAAGTAAGAACCACACTACTTATATAAAAATTCCGAAAAAATGTTTTTCCAAGATAAGCCAACTTTTCGCGTAATTTGACTGGGCTATTATTAAAACGTCTCTTATCAAAAAAACTTCTTTGTAAACAACACATTCTCCTATAAATTTACAAAAATAATCATTAAATTGTCTTTTCATTAAAACAGTTATTAAAAACATCTCTTATTAAAAAACGTAAAATTTTGCTGAAAGAACCTTAAAATACAACCTGTACAATTTAATATATTTAAAACTATATATATATATATATATATATATATATATATATATATATATATATATATATATAAAAATCTTGTTTAAGAAACTTAAATATTTTAAAAAATGTAACAATTCTTATCAAAAATGGTTATTTAAAATCAAATATTGTTTTTAAAAGAATAAATCATGTTAAAACGTTTATTGGAACGTCTTTTATCAAAAAACAATATTTTAAGAGATATCTGTCTACGTTTTTTTTCAAATTTGAAAAAAAAAACTAGTGATGCAACGAATACAAATATTCATATTCGCCAAATATTAAAAAAAATATTTTTTTAACGCTTCTTTGTTTAACTGTACCGTGTGTAATAAATAATTACGAAGATTAAAAAAATATAAATTTTTAAACGCTACTCGGTTTAGCTGCAATGATCCGGGGGATTCTCTAAGACTTCGCACGTCCCTAAGATTATCGCCGTCTGCTGATCCATTGGCCTTCTGGGGGGACGATATACATTTCCCAAGGCTGAAAAAACTAGCCAAAAATATTTTTCATTGAAACCGTGTACAGTCGCCTTGGAAAGGCTTTTTTCAACGGCTGGGAATATCCAGCAACAAAAATTTACCAGTTATAAATTTTAATTACTAGAACAAAATTAATAGTTTTTGATTAATATGCCGAGTTATTCATATTTGTATCCGCCGAATAATAGTTTTGATATTCGTAAAAGTACTATTCGTTGCACCACTAAAAAAAATTATAAAAAAACTTTCGCATATATTCCCGGGGAATTTAATTTTCTTACGAACTGCGTGCAATAATATAGAATAGAAAATCTCTATTAAGGAAAACAAATTTCTGAAAAAAAAACAAACGGTTATCTTTTTTAAATAAAAAGTTTTTTTAGTTTACATCACTACTTAATATTTAGATATTATTTCCAATAAAAAAATGAAACCAAAAATAAAATCTGTATAGAATAAAAAAACAAAAAAGTACCCAATTTCGCCAAAACTAAAAAAATCTCGTTAAAAACGGTTTAAAATCATAAAAAATCTTAAAACGTTTCTTGAAATGTACTTTATCATCATCATGTCAAATTCATGTCAAAAGAACCTTAAAATACAACTTGTATACAAAAGAAATTGTTAAATCTTCTCATATCAACCTTATTAAGAATCTTGAATTATACGTGTGAATCTTGTTTTTTACTAAAACATATGAGTACATTAGATGCACAACTCTGTATTTGCAGGATAAGTGATTTTAAGAAAAACACGAAAAACCGCTCATAAGGTCATATTTGAAAAAAAAATACAAAAATCGTATAGACGTGCTTTTGCATCATTTCTTATTCAAAAAAGTAAAAAAAAAGTCCTTTAAAATTAAGTAGTTTAGTAAATAATTGAAATCAAAAGATTTAAAAACATAGTTTTGCATCTTCCTCGTTCAAAGACCAAGTTTTGCAAGTGAAATGCTAAAAAACTAACAATTAATCCGGTGATTGTTATGCCGTCAGTTAATGCGTATACTAGCGACGTGATTGGTGATTGGTCAAATACCGAGTTTTGCATCCGACAGGAAGAAACAAATACCCAGTTTTGCAGCTGCGGTAAGTTTATAAATGTATTTTATTCTACAAATATTAACTTATGCATCTGGTTTACTTAGGTATGCTGTGGGCAGTGCAGTTATGAACATAAATAAGATAAAATATATATTTTTTAAAAATGTGCAAAAACCGAGTTTTGCATCTAATGTACTCATATACAAGTTTGTAAAAAAATGTAAAACTTTAGTAGGATACTTCCGCACATATACAAATCATTTCTAGGGAGTTCGTTTTTGTTGGTGCTAGTGTTCGGATCGCTCAATGAAAAGTATGAAATATAGATGACTTTTCGACCTAGTAGGGACAAAATTGGATTCCAGGTATAGAAATATACGACGTAGAATGGTGTAAAACGCGTAAATACAGGGTGTTATTTAAATGTCCTACTTACTTGCATAGCCTTGTTGGTGAAGGTCATGTCCATGGACATTTGTCCGTTTTTGCGGGAGAATGTACCGTGTATTTCCATGCCTTTTCCTTTCTCCGCCGGTAGCCAACACGTTTTTGGTGGGGTGTACATGGAGGGGGAGGAGGAGATGCCGAAAATGTCGCCTAAGAGACCTGTGGTTGAAGGAGCGGCGCCGCCTGCCGTTGATATGTCTGAACTACCGCCTCCAAGCTAAAAATCTTGTTAGAAATATCCCAAAAAAAAATCTTCAAAAGTTTCTTACCAAAACGTCCAATCCTCCGCCCAAAAGGTCAATGTTACTGGTTGCCGCAGGGCCGCCCAGGGGCGCAGCTGGGGCGGTAGCGCCAAGATCCATGGAGAGTAGGTCGCCCACAATGCTTTCCTGGTTCGGAATAACGGTTGCTTCTTGGCCGATTTCATCAGCTGAACCTTGTCTGGCCGGTAGCGTCTTTCGTATACCTTAAAAGACAAATAATGTTTATGGTTTGTTTGCATCCATTAAAATCATAGTTACCTGCGCTTCTTCCCTCTACAAACGCGGTCGGCGGTTTATGGTAAACGCTGGCCAAAGAAGAAATGTGGCAAATCAGCTCGTCCAACAGTGTTGGTTCTAATAAATCGGTTTCTTCGGAAATAAGAGGTTTATCGGCCAAAACGACCTCTTTAGCTGCTGCCGGGTCTGTACTTAACAATCTAAATACAACAAATGTTTAAAATCATTTTAGAATGGTATATTTTAATAGAATACCTCCAGTAGATAAAACCGCGGTCCCTTAAATCAGGGTTGTCTGAGTCCTGTGTGGCCAGACTTAGCACGTGCTGAACTAAACCTTGGGTGTGCTGTGGACGCTTCAAGAACAACTTGACAACAGCGGTAAGCAGTTGCAGTTGAACCTGAGCGTTTTCGTCGGCAAAACCTATGATAAAACAATGTTTATTTTTATTTAATACATAATATGAGTACATTAGATGCACAACTCTGTATTTGCAGGATAAGTGATTTTAAGAAAAACACGAAAAACCGCTCATAAGATCATTTTTGAAAAAAAAATGCAAAAATTGTATGAACATGCTTTTGCATAATTTCTTATTCAAAAAAGTAAAAAAAAATCCTTTAAAATTAATTAGTTTAGTAAAAAATTGAAATCAAAAGATTTAAAAACATAGTTTTGCATCTTCCTCGTTCAAATACCTAGTTTTGCAACTGAAAAGTGCAAATACCAAAAAATAACAATTAATCAGGTGATTGTTATGTCGTCACGTAATGCGTATACTAGCGACGTGATTGGTCTACAGCAAATACCGAGTTTTGCATCCTACAGGAAGACACAAATACCCAGTTTTGCATCTGCGTTAAGTTTATAAATGTATTTTATTCTACAAATATTAACTTATGCATCTGGTTTCTTAGGTATGCTGTGGGCAGTGCAGTTATGTACATAAATAGGAAAAAATATATATTTTTTAAAAATTTGCTAAAACCGAGTTTTGCATCTAATGATAAAAAAATTAGCAGTAAATTGGTGCTAAACGGTAACCCGTAGGACTCGAACCCTTTAAGGTAAATTGTTCATAAAAATCTGAACAATAATTTTGTTCACAGGGACGAGGTCGCCAGGTTTAATTTTTGGGGTAAAGTATATTTTTGAAACTTTTTTGGTGGTGTAACATTATTTTAGGGGGTTAATGAAATACTTCAACGACGCGGCTTTTTGAATTGAAGTTATCCCCACTTTTAGACCACCGAGGGTAAGTCTGACGAACTCGCGGCAAACAAATTATGTCTAATGAATTTTTTTTATTGTCAATACTTTTCCTTTAAAAATAAAGCAAAATAATGTTTGAATAAAATAGGGGATGAAATCAGGGCAAAACTCGAGGGTAGTTCATATGGATCAAAATGTAGGGAATGACGACCACTACATTTTGTACATTTAAACTATAATCCAACAATTAACGGTTTTTCAATTTTTTCATAAAAAAACAAGTTACTGCCACAGGGAATCCAATGGACGTTCATAGGATGGAAAAATATATAAGTTATAAAATATTTTTTTAAAGGTTTTAAAAGCCGCGGGAACAACAAAAAATTGAAATAAAAAAAATCCCCGTATCAATCTGTTTGGATTATTCGGCGTTCTTTCGGACGTCCTATTTTGATCTATTTCTTTGACATTGGGACGTCCTATAGCCGTCATTCGGCAAGCCTATCGGGGTCCGACATCCTTGTATACTCAATGGACGCGTCTTTTTAAGACTCACAATTTTATTCTTTTGCATCGAGTTAAAAAAAATATGCCCCGAAAAATTTAGGGAAATATATTAGAGGTGATAAACTATCGATATATCGATTGTTGAAGACTATCGAAGCGCTATCGATCTATCGATTGGAGGTGATAAACTATCGATAGTTATACAGGGTGTTATTTAACTTGAAACTTTTAAATATCTCAGTTAGTATGCATTTTACGAAAAAAAATTTAAAATAAAAATTAAATGATTAGAGGGGGGAAATCAATCAGTACTAAAATTGGTCCTCATACTCTCCTTATGGAAGGAACAGGGTGAAACTTTAAATTTTCTAATTTAACACCCTATTTTTTATTGCAGATTCGGATCATTCGACTAAAAATAGGTAGATTTTGTCTAAAACATTTTTTCATATTTGTAATAGATGGCGCTGTAATGAAAAAAATCAATTTTGTTCGATTTTTCTTTTGTATACGATTCTCCAATAATTTGTGAATAAAATACTTGGTTTTATTTTATATATTTATTTTTTAAATTGTAGGTGCTCAAAATAACAATATTAAATATTTGCTCGACGAACTCTTTTTTTCGGTTGAACACTTCCGTTTGTAGTAAACTGCTTGACTGTACGGTTAAAGTACGTGACCGAATTTTTTCCGGAAAACGCTGAGCATCAAGATTCCTGCCTGCTTCTCCATAAATCAAATTCATTTATATTTATCTTCCACTGTTAAAAAATCCATTATGAATAACTGCTTAACGAAAGGAGGTCTTTTTGTTTGCAAATTAATCTTCAAATTAAATTGATTAAATAATGCTAATAGTTTCTTTATACCTCAATAATAATTATTATTTATAAGTAAATACCATTTTTTATACCTGAATAATTATTGGGATTAAATTAATTAATTGACAAAATATTGTTTTTTTTACCTTAAATGGTATATTTTTATTAAAAATAGTACAATAATCCTTTAAATTAAAGGATTTAATGCTGGCAGGTAAAAAGTGACCATGGTGCGCAATTGATAATTATCACCGAATGAAATAATGTATAAAACTGAAACCAAAGGAAACTTAAATATTGGTTAAAAAATCGTGCGTACTTAACAAATCAATTTAATTTAATAAGATAATTATTACCAAAAAAGTGATATTTTTATAGACTAATTATTGCAGAATCGTATAAGAAGAAAAATCGAACAAAATTGATTTTTTTTCATTACAGCGCCATCTATTACAAATACGAAAAAATGACAAAATCTACCTATTTTTAGTCGAATGATCCGAATCTGAAATAAAAAATAGGGTGTTCCATTGGAATTTTAAAGTTACCCCCTGTTTCCCCTATAAGGAGGACAGTATGAGGACCAATTTTAGTACTGATTAATTTCCCCCTCGAATCATTTAATTTTTATTTTAAACATTTTTTCGTAAAATGCATACTAACTGAGATATTTCAAAGTTTCAAGTTAAATGACTCACCCTGTATATATTAATATATAAATAACGTAAACAAGTATTGAAATGATATGTTGTTTACGTTATGTATGTATTATGTATTATATTTATATATTATGTATGGAATATGTGCAAGACTTACATTGCAAGTAGATATTTTTTTAAATTATTAAAACGTTTTTTAAACATTTATGTTACCTAATTTTATTTATATATTTATAGCAAAAACCAAAATTTTAAAAATATAAAATTATTTGATTATGAAATGTTATGTTATGCTAATACAGCACTGAATATGTTTTTTGCGGCCCAGTAGAATATTCTTACTGAATAAAAGGAATAATTATAATTATGAAGGAATAATAAATGAATAATTATATATATGATACACGGATATTATAATAATCAGCAGATATCAGTGTACAGATAAAAAGTGTTACATTTCAAAACAATTTACTTTCGCATTAACCTTAGACTAAAAAGAAATTAAAAAAAAAAAATGCAGATAGACAGTTATATCCAGTGTCTATTGTGGCTATATCGCGCGGTTAATAGTTTTCCCGTAATCCGATTTTAAATTTTCAACCCCCGACAGGGGCATAATTTGGGTATTGAGCAAACCGAGTGCGAAAAATGCGGATTTTAAGCAATTTTTTTAATAATTTTATTAATTTTTCTACAGAGTTGATCACATACCTCATCGAAGCGGTCATTTGAAAGAAAACTGCAGGATTTTGTCCAAAATGAATTTTAAAAATTAACCCCCTTGTTCACCCACAAAATGAACCCTGACCACTTCGTCCCTGTGAACAAAAATGTTGCCCGGATTTTTCTGGGTTATGGTTTTAAACCGTAATAGCTAATAGCACAAATTTACGACTACCCTCAAGTATCCCCTGATAAAAAATCCCCGAGGAAGTTAGTTCGCAAACTTGGATTTAGTACCTACACCTACAAAATCAACTAATTCATTCTGTATAATATAGTGTATATATTTGGTATACAGTTTGACAGTACTATTACCAGACTAATACAAGACTTAAAACGGGAGGTACTTGACCACAAGGCCAAAGAGGGGAAACGGCAGCTTAAAACTATTTATCGAATCGATTTGAATTTTTACAGAATACTCTTGGAATATTAAAAATTCAAAATAAAATATATTTTGAACATTCTAAAGTTCTGCACATAACCCATTCAATTTTTAGATAGATTTATATTTTGGTCCAAGTACCTTCCAAAAAGCTGTCCAATAACTCGTCGGCGTTGTCAATTCTTTCGGCATATTCGCCTATAATCCAAACCATGGAAGCTCTCGCCTCTGGCTCATCTAGAGTGTCCAGGTTTTCACATAATGTGGATATTATGCTTTCGTATTTATTTGGATATTTTCTAAAAGAAAAAATATATAAATATTTTAATATTAGTAACCAGCCTGGCTGTAACAGCATTTTGTATGTTGTTTTTTTTTAAATTAATAGAAGTAGGTACGTATCAAAAACTTAAAAAATATACTTTGACAAAAAGAAACATTTTGTAATAAGAAAGTAAAATTATCGAGAAAAATAAAATAAATTATGTCAACTCATTTTTTAAATAAAAAAAAAGTAAAAGTAAATCTAGCAAAACTTTGAATGCCGACACGTAGCGGAGGCCTACAATTAAGCGAAGCGCAAAAGGACACTTCTCAGCCGCATGGCATAAAATATTTTATCTTCGAGGCCTATTTTTATTTTAAACATAAAACTACAACTATAATAATTATTAAAAGTAGAAAGTAAGGTTTAATTAGATTGAATATACGAATTTTTTATTGGTCCAAACAGGTTTTTTACAGACTGGGAGGTAAAAATCTTTACTTTTACGATTGGTCTAAGTTTTTTTACAGCCAACTAACTCTGATTAAAGATAAACGTATTTGACTACTCCTATCGAGACTCCTATTGCATAATATTGACATCAATTTTGTTTTCTGCTTATAATAGTAACCATTATAACCGCCCCTCCTAACAACGGTAATAATGTATTCAATATTCCAATTGGGTAGTTACAAACTAGCTTATTCCAAAATCATCATATTTGCTCATAGTATCCTAAATAAAATCTAACATCTGTCAAAATGTTCTAACCTCACTTTAATTATTTCTTAATTTCTCTTAAAGAAAATTAGTCAATAGGATTATATATCTACTCAAGTAGAAAATGCATAGTATTACAAGTGAAACACTCGAGATACATTTGAATATATTAAAAGCCATTGTACAATGTCAGTGGAATAAACGCTAGAAATAACTGTCTTTAAAATGTGAAGTTAAGCTAGTTACAACATTTCCAATGGTAAACCGGATTAAGGGCTGGCGTACATAGTTTTTAATATATCCAAAAACCAAGTAAACCAGGACCTAAAATTGTTTACCAATTGGAAAAAGCAAAAAAAAATTAGGCAAAAAATATGTAACGTGATTAAAAAAAAAACAGTTTGTAAAATATTCCCATTTAAATGTTACATCACGGAAAAATAAAATAAAGTCAAAATGTGTTATCTAACAGGCGGAGAAAGCTTATTGTTCGCCTCCGAGGCCTCAACCGAGGCTGCAGATTTGAGCGAGGCAATTAATATGCTTTCTCCGCCGTTGGTTACTATTATACTATTGTTTTTTCAAGCATTTAATAATTCTGTGCTTACATTGAAACTATCGCGTTTGCGACATTTTGTCTGGTTTGACCTATAATTATAATTAGGTATATTATAATATAACATATATAATATAACATATGTCAAACTTCAAACCTGACAAAATGTCGCAAACTAAATTTTACAGTGACCTGTAAGTTTACATTTTATTTGCTAATTTCGAGCTAAACGCGATAGTTGGAACTAGGGATGCACCGGAATTCCGGCGGTACCACTAAATCCGGCCGATCCGGCCAGTTGGCCGGAACTACCGTTCCGGCCGGATCGCTCCGGCCGGAATTTTCGGAACTTTTTGGAAATGTTTAATTTCTAATATAATTTAAATTCAAATATATGCAAAAATAAGGAAAATTATTTTAAGTTTTTTTTTAATTGGTGCCTACTTATTGTTAAGTCGTTAATTAATCACAAATAATTTTTTTTTTGAACAAAATATATTTTCTTTCCAAAAATTACAAAACATAAATAATAACTGAAAACATTATTAACAGCCAAATTCTAACAGCAAAAATAACAGCCAAATTCCCTGTCATGGATAAGTCTTATAAGATAAGTATACAGTTTACATGAAAAATTAGAGTGAGAAACTTAGTATTCATAATTTATTTTATTAAGATTATGGTGAATAAATAAGAGCTTTTCGGCATTTTCAGAGTTTAGCCTACACCTGTATATTAGAGTGTCTCAAAAAACCGACTATTTTTTTTTCTTCAAAGAACATTGAAAATTCGTCAGAGTATCTCTAGAAAATGACCCTGTGAAAGTAAGAGCTCTTAATATTAATATTTAGATGTGGCGTTTTGTAATTTTCTATTTCCCATTTAAATAACATGGGAAATTTTTATTTTCAAATTTGGAATTTTGTAACGTGATAACGAGCTACTTTATAAGTATGACGAAATTACTCCTTATAGGAAATTTAATGCTCTACAAAAAAGGTCTTATTGACTTTTTGCGTTACTCAAGCCGTTTCAAAGATATCGAGCCTCAAACTTCAGAATGTTTAAAATTATGCTTTTTTTTTCCTAAATACATAAAAATCAATTTATATGTATTTAAGACCCAAAATTATTAACTTGAGAATAAATATATGCATATATTTGATGGAATGCAGATCTAAAATTCTTAATAATTTGATAAATGATAATTTTTATTGATTTTTAGCAAAAAATAATCACTTACCTAAAAAAATTTGGTAGAAGTTTACTATAAATTTATTTACATTATGTATTAATAATATATTTACTGTTTATATAGTCATGTTAATAGTCCATTTCACTTTATATCAATTTTCTTCTGTTATCTCCTGATTTTTTTGTATTTAAGAAAAAAAAAAGCATAATTTTAAACATTCTGAAGTTTGAGGCTCGATATCTTTGAAACGGCTTGACTTACGCAAAAAGTCAATCAGACCTTTTTTGTAGAGCATTAAATTTCCTATAAGGAGCAATTTCGTCATACTTATAAAGTATCTCGTTATCAAGTTACAAAATTCCAAATTTGAAAATATAGTCGGTTTTTTTGAGACACGTGTACTCTACTGTATATATTACCAATTTCTGAAAATAGGCTGCTATACTCCAATTGAATGAGTAGAATTGTTTTAATTTTGTTAACGCTAATTAAAAATTAATATTTAAATAAACAGTAATTTCTATCTAGGTAAAATTAATAGTAATAAACACTCTGCATACCGTAGCTAGTTTAAAAAAAAGTAAAAATAAATCAGCCTCAATATTTTCAATGTTTTACGTATAAAAATAGGCATGCACATACATTTTAAATTTAGGTTCCGATCCGGCCGGAATTCCGGCGATCCGGTCCGGCCAGCGGCCGAAATTCCGGTTCCGGCCGGATCGGCAAAATACCCGATCCGGTGCATCCCTAGTTGCAACCACTCTTCCTATATATTTTCAATGTTTTTTTCATTAATTTACGGCGGTGTATAATATTTTGACCTTTAAACTGCGTAGTCTTTCTATATAGGCTTATGAGTGTTATTATATGAAAATTGATATACGCTTGCAAAAAATTCCTTGTAAAACAGTTCTGCAGTTTAAAATGTCAATGGTATAGAATGCTATATTAGAAATAAGGAACGCCTCAAATATAAAATTTATAAATTACACTATTATAATAAATATCGATTATTTTAATGTCCAAGCTTACATAAACTCATTAAGATAGCAATAGATAAAAATTATTAAATTATTCATCCGGAATTTAGGTATGTTGTTGGAATGTGTCTAGCGTACAGTGCTGCCAATGACCTGATAATTATTGAAATCTACCATAATTCTGACTACAATTCAATAATCGATAATGACAAGCTAATCTACCATAATTTATTGAAAAAAACTAATTACTAACATACCTAGTGCATTGAATATTACTTAGTTCTCAATGCGTCAAAGATTCCCAGAGTTGTGTTAAGTTTTTACCAAATGAAAAAATGATTTCTTATGCTCGAAAAAATTATGAAGGTGATGAAACAGACGATGTAAGTGCAAGGGTGTAATACCTATTTCACAGTATATAATGTGCATATTTATAATATATACTTTTTTCTATTAGAATACATTTTTTACTTAATTTTTTTTTTAGAAAAATAAAAATAGAGATGAAAAGTAAAAAGTTAACATAAACTTTTTCTGATAATTTTTCCTGATATCTGTTCTCAAATCCTGATAATTTTAAATTTGACGTCTGGCAACACTGCTAACGTCATACTGCTGATAACTGTCATAGGGAACATAACCTCAAAGTTTATACGACGATAAAATTGCGTCAAATATTTATTTAAGTGCATTTTAACTATAAAATTTAGGTAATGTTTGTTTTATAGGCGATATAATTGTTTATTTAGTATTAATACTGTATTGGAATTAATATTTTGCTATAGTTTGTGATAGGGAGTGGTTGATTAATAAAAAATCAATTTTAACATGTTTTTAGCGTTAATTATGCCCGGAAAGCTTTTAAACCAGCAAATTTTGCAAGAAAGGTTGAGAAATTTCAATCCAGAACCGTTAGTTGAGTATGAAAGTGATGAAATTAAGGAAAATATCGAAACATCAATTGTTAATGAAGATAAAAACAATATTGACCTGGCAAAGGCAAACTATTTGAACATGTTGAATAATAATGATATTAAACAGGCATCTGAGAATATTATTCGTAAATATGGGGTTGGTACTTGTGGACCAAGGGCGTTTTACGGTAAGACAGGGACCGTTTAAAAAAAATTCATCAAAAAAAGAAAAATTGGTGCTATATAGTGGACACCATTTTAGATTCTGCTTGGACATTGTGGTCTGTGAGTCTGCACAAAATAAAGGATTCGAAAAGTTTTATTTTTATGCTTATATTTTTATCTATGAAAAAACATAAGTGTCTAGTTTTAAAGCTAAAAAATTTTAAAGCCATAGAAAGTTTGAGCCAAATCTAAAGTGCACCAACAATTTTTTTTCTTTTTTTTATTATTTTATTTGGAATGACTTATAACCGTACTAAAACCCAAATTTTATCATATTTTAGGTACGACTGATGTCCATTTAGAACTAGAAGAGCATATAGCGAAATTCTTGGGACTTGAGGAAGCTATAGTATATTCCTACGGTTTTGTAGCTATAGCTAGTTCCATAGCAGCATACTGTAAAAAATCCGACGTTGTTTTCATAGCTAACGATAGCAACGCTGCCATATTGCAGGGTTTGGTGTCAGCGCGAAGCAGGGTTATCAGGTTTAACCATCAGGATCCTGAGAGTTTAAAAATTGAGGCGCGGAAAGTTATGGAAGGGGAGAAGGGAGGGAAAAAGTGTAGAAAATTTTTGGTTTTGGAGGGAGTTTCGTGGAAAAGTGGCAAGGTTTGCGATTTGCCGTTGTTTTTGGATATCGCGGAAGAGTTTAAGATGAGGGTTTTTCTCGAAGAGAGTTATTCTATTGGTATTTTCGGAAAAAATGGTAAGGGGCTTTTGGAGCATTTTAATATCGAAAAAAATCGCGTAGATATGATTATGGGCACCCTAGAGAACGCAATAGGCTCTATAGGTGGCTTCTGCGCAGGAACACAAAACACCATAGAACACCAAAGACTATCAGGGTCTGGTTACATTTTTTCCGCATCTTTACCAACGTTTTTAGTACAAGCCGTTATAAAATCTATCGACCTCATCGAACAAAAGCCCGAAAAACTCCGCGTCTTCTCGAAAAAATTCCACAATTTCCTACTGGAAACTAATTTTGACGTGTCAAGCGACTCAGATGTGCCCTACAAAATCTTTACGCTCAAAAACAAGTACAACCTTAAGGAATTCCACGACTTTTGCAAAACTAAGGGACTTTATTTCATACTTAAAGACGATTATTTCGTTTTGAATTTGAATCTTGCTTTAAGCAACGATGACAAACGTTTAAATTTGGCTTATAAAATATTGGAGGATGCCGCAAAGTTGTTTAATTAAAAAAGTATTAAAATAATTACTATTGTATTTTTTGTTTTCAAAATATATAAATATAGATATAGATAATATTATCTATTTATAAGTTATAATTTTATTTTATTTTACCAAGAAAAATCACGATTTTGTCATTGTTGGGTTCCCATAATGCAGTGGACTTTCTTGTAAAATAAATGATTTTTAAATATACATAATTAAAAATGTCAAACTTACTTGGGAATGTCAAAAACATTTTAATTTTCAAAAATCTTCAAAAACTATTGTCAAAGTTTAATTTTATGGGCGTTAAATCAATAATTAGGATTATTTTTTTACTTACTCTTATGCTTACTTTGCGTTAATACAGAAATAAGATTATTAATTTAAGTAGATGATTAAGCCTTTAATAGTATTTTTAAATAAAAAAAATATTGCTTTATAATAATTATTGTATTGTATAGTTGTATCATTAAAAAAGTATTAAAATAATTACCATTGTATTTTGTTCTGTTTTTCAAAATATATTATTATTATCTATTTATAAGTTATAATTTTGTTTTATTATACCAAGATAAATCACGATTTTGTCATTGTTGGGTCGCCAAATTCAGTGGACTAGAAACATTCTTGTAAAATTTAAATATAAAAATTATGATTTTAATGATTTTTAAATATACATAATTAATATTTTAAATATACCTAATTAAAAATGTCAAACTTACTTCCAAGCTAGCAAGGTAATACCAGCCCTTTATTTACTGGCCACGGTTTAAAAAAGTTAGATGTAAAGTTCGACAACCCCAAAGTTATAAACAGGGAATGATTCTACATCGTTTCAATAAATAATTAATGAAAAAATTAATATATTTCCCTGAGCGCATTTTTTTTTTCGCCTTATTAAATAATATTTTTATATTATAAGAACATTATTTAAGGGGTTAGATACACTCACTACGCCAAAAAAGAGCAATTTTTACGTTTTTTGTTTCAAAGACTGGTTTATTCATTTTGAAATAAATATTTTGACAGCTGTTTTGACGTATTTCAAAAAGTTACAATAATCACAGGCGCCTGTTTTCTCTCGACTTAAATGTGTTTTGAGACGTCAAAAGTTAGTTATTTATTAAAGTTTAATAAAATTTAAATAATGAAACCAATAAATTTAACTCGTAAACAAGTGCTTTCACATAGTGAGTGTCGTTTAAAGTTATGTTTATTTTGTAAAACGAAGAAGAAAGTTCTTTTCGAAATAACCGATTCTTTAGAAAAAGTAATAAATAAATATATTACATACAATAGTAATGACGAATGGTGTAAATTGTAAAAGAAAGCTATATATATATAAAAGAAAAATCTTGTAATGCATATACTATTGTAATGCCAGATTATTCAAATTACATGATGTGTAATACTCGATCAAGTTCTGGAAAATCTTGTGGATATGAATTATGTGCAACAGTTAAAAATCAAAGTGAGTTTAATTTTTCAAAAATAAAATGTGGTAAGATTAATGATAAAAAGCTTAGGAAAAAAATCAAACCTACGAACCGTAAATGTGTGGAGTTATCGGACAAGGTAAACGACACAGGTGTAATAAAACTGAATTATTAAAAAACTTGAATTCGTTAGAACATAAACAGAAAGAACATTTGGCATGTGATATAATAATGGAAAAATTAAATAATGAAGCAAGTGAACACAAAGACTCTATTTTATTTTCAAGAAGTCGCGGCAAAGCAATGCCAGTTCATCTTTCTCAAACTAAAAATGATAATGCAATGTTAATATCTGCTGATAGTATGTCCAAAATTAGTACTAATTTTAGACTGTCAACAAACGCAACTTTAGGAATTGCCCAAACTCTTCGCATTGCAACAGGAAAAAGAAAATTGTTTGAGATAAATTTAAAAGAAAAACTTCAAGCTTTGAATCATTGCCTTGACTCTCACTTTGACGTAACAAAATGTCAATTGATTAGCACTAAAGCAGGCCAAGTAACGAATACTGAAGAGTACGTTGTATTTTGTAAAAATGTTCAAAAATTGATTGACGAAGTAAAAGAATGTCGTGAAGTAAATCAAGCACATATAAAAATTGGTGCAGATAGTGGTGGAAGTTTTTTAAAAATAACTTTATCCATTCAATCGTTAGATTATTCAAATGATAATAAACGGCAAAGGTACATTGAAGGAGTAGCTGCGAAAAAGTTCAAGGATTCTGGAGTAAATAAATTATTTTTGATCGGCTTAACTCAATTTTCTGAAGAAAATCATAACAATTTAAATATTTTATGGGATTTATTACACATAAAAGATTTTGATGGACAAATTTCAGCAGATTTGAAATTATTAAATATATTGATTGGTCTAATGTCTCACAGCAGCATGTATCCATGCGTTTGGTGTACCGCACACAAAAATAACTTGAACGTTTTGGGTACTTTAAGAACTATAGGGAATTGTATTAAAAATTTTGAAGCTTGGAAAAAAGTGGAGGAGAGAAACAGAATTGTAAAAACTTTAAAAATTGTTTAAATTTACCTATAATTTCATTAAATAAAGAAAAAAAAATCATCGATTTAATTCCACCGCCCGAGTTACATTTGTTAATTGGAGTTGTAAATACATTATTTGATACTATGTATAATATTTGTAACCTGTGGACCAAAAAGTGTAATGTGAGCCGAGAAATACTTTACGGAAATGCAGGTTTTGTTGGAAATTCGAGTAAAGTATTATTGAACAATGTTGACATTCTACGTGAAATTTGCTCGTCAACAAGTAACTTTTCTTGTATGAAATATGTAAAATGTTTCGAATAGAGGTGGGCTGTTCGATACGATACGTATCGATACAAGTGATACGAACGGGATATCGTTAGAATCGATATAAATTTATGTATCGAATACATTGTATCGATTATTTAGCTAATTATGAAAAGTCATTAAAATGCCATATATGAAAATTTGATTTTGCGGTTATACCGTATTTTTAATAACCGAAATTTTGGAAGTTTGTTCGATCAAGGCTGACAGTTGGTATTGCAGCTGGCTATCACAAAACTAGTTTTGACTTTGGTTTGGTACTTTTTCTCACAATCCACACAAAAAATGTTGTGTGGATTGTCCTTTTTCTATGGTTTGGTTGGTTTAAGTTATTTAAAGTTTACATTGTAAACAATTGCGAAACAAATTGCAAATTTTCATATACCTATATTTTTTTCGTTACCTTCCTAATAATTAAATTCATTTAATAAAAGTTTTTAGTTTTTCTTCCATTTTTTTTTTTAATCTAACCGTATCGTATCGATATAAGCGATATTTTGAAAATTATATCGATATCGTATCGATACGGCTTTTGTATCGAACAGCCCACCTCTAGTTTCGAATCATTCAAGAACGTTGTCGATTCTTGTTTCTCAATCAAATTAAAAGAAGGATATCTTGATAAGATTGCGATATTTAGAGAAAGTTATATGAGTTTAGACATAAACGTAACGCCAAAGGTTCACACAGTATTTTTCCACATAGAAGATTTTTATAAACAAAACGACAAAGGGTTAGGGTTTTATTCAGAACAAGCGGTGGAATCATCTCACTCAGACTTTAATAAAATATGGAATAAATACAAAGTAAAAAAATCGCATCCTCAATATGCAGAAAAATTACTTAAAGCTGTATGTGAATACAATAGTAGACACCTTTAATTAGTTATAATGTATATATCAAACTTAGATATAGTTTAAACACAAAATTGTTTCTTTTTATAGAATAAAATATGTTTTCTTTTTTATAAAAAAATCTTTTATTACAAAAAAAAGTCTCAAATAAATTAAATATAATATATATATTATTTCAAAAGTATCAATTTTTCTAAGGTATCCGTTATTTCGAAAAGAACTTTCTTCTTCGTTTTACATAATAGACATAATTTTAAACGACACTCACTGTGTGATAGTGGTTGCTTATGACTTAAATTTATTGGTTTCATTTTTTAAATATTATTAAAGTCTCAAGACATACTAAAATCAAGAGGAAACAGGCGCTTGTGATTACGTAACTTTTTAAAATAAGTCAAAATAACTGTCATAATATTTATTTTAAAACAAATAAACCAGTCTTTGAAAAAAAACGTAAAAATTGCTCTTTTTTTGACGTAGTCAGTAGCGTAACTAGGGGGGGCGGTCCGCCCCGGGCGGCACTTCTTGGGGCGGCAAAAATCGTGAGAGAAAATGCGAAAAAAACTGGAAGACAGAATATAAAAATAAAAAAAATATTTGATAATTAAATATTCTCTTTCGAAATAATATAATTCAAATTCCAATACATTTGAGATTTATACAATTACTCCCAAAATATTCCAAATCAAATAAAGCTAGCAAAAAATAGAAACAAGACCGGTATTGTACCTTTGATGAGTAATCAGTCTACCGCCGACATAAGTTACCAATAATTTTGCGTACGGTCCTCAAAACTGACTCCTAACCTAACCTCTCTTCCCCCCCAAAAAATAACATGAGGGCGACAGCCACTGCTGCCCCGGGCGGCACTTTTTCTAGTTACGCCGCTGGACGTAGTTAGTGTATCTAACCTCTTAAATAATGTTCTTATATTTAATAAGGCGAAAAAAAAAATGCGCTCAGGGAAATATTTTAATTTTTTCATTAATTATTTATTCAAACCATGTAGAATCATTCCCCGTTTATAACTTTGGGGTTCTCGAACTGTACATCTAACTTTTTTAAACCACACCGTGGCAAAATAACGGCCGTAAAAATGCCGGCATTTGCTTTAAGTTTGCCTTTGAGAAACCAGAGACATCTATGCGAGTCATTTGAACCAAAGAGCAGATTTGAACGCGATTCTCTTTGGCGATCGATGGTCTGTTCTGTATTTTGAAATAGTTTGGTGGTTGTTTATATATGAGGAGTGATTTTTCAAAAGGCCTTATTTCCATTTTTAAATGAATGTAATTTTTTGACTAAATCCCAAAGGTATGGTTAAAAGGCATATATTAACGGCGAAATATGACAGCAGGTCTGAAGTATTATTA